AGACTGAAGACATCTTAAGCATGTCACCTGATCTAAGATCTTATACTAACTATGCCCCCACAATCATGTGAACCAGTTTATTAAAATCAATCTTTCTCTTTTTCTGGGTCCTGCTTCTCTAAAGAACTGTGACTAAGACATTAACTAAGGAAGACAAAGTACATTTATCAAACAACTACCAAAAAATGTTAGACACTTCATTGTCAAGCATTCCCACACAGAAATGTTAGGAATCAGAATGTGGGCTGTGGATGAGTGTTGGTGAGTTTTCAAATAGCTGCCAGGAGCCAACATTCAATAATGGAGCCAATAGAAACTATACAAACATATAAAATCAACTTTCTGTGACCTATTTTAGCAACTTCTTTGCATTGACTAATCTTGCTAAAGGGTGAATCATAAATTCAGCAAGAGACCATGTCCTGGTGACCTCACTTATTCTAAGCCTGCAGGAATATTCCCCCCTCAACTGGCTTCAGGCTTTTGAGAAATATCATAATTGAAAAAGCAGTAGTTTTAGTGTAAGTTCCATATTTTGTCTTTTTTTTAAAAAAAATGTTTTAAGTCAAAGATGGGGAGAGAGGGAACTGAAGCAGAGTGATAAAAAACCCAGGATAAAGAAGCTCTACTGCCATGGTTATTCTAGCCCCAAAGAAAGTCTCTGCTTGAGCCCTTCTCCTGAAGTAGTTAGAACAAAAAAAATGCAGGCAAGGGGATGCTACCAGGTCACCAGAGAGTGAAACTGACTGAAACAAAAAGCCAGCTGACCAGTGCCCTTGCCAGGCAGATGAAAATGAGAACACAGTTGGGGAGGAAAAAGTAAGTTCGATTCTGGCAGTTTGTAGAGTTTCGGAGTTTGATAGCTAGTCCAAAGAATTTTTTTCCATTTTGATTTTAAAAATTCCAACAGCAGTTCATCCAGAAGTGGAATTATAAGGCACACAGAAAACCTTTCTGTGTTAAATAATTTCAGTTGTACCTATGTTTCCATCATGATTTTACTACTGAATGTTGTTGTTATGTGTTGTCCTGTCCACTATGACTCATAATGATCTTATGAACAACGGCTCTGAACTTTGCCCTATTCTGATCTACCTTACCATCTCTGATAAACTTAACCCAATCCAGGGTCTTCCTATAACTGAAAGGAGTATGGAAAGTAGCTCCCATACAATCATGATTCAGGGTCAGTTCAAATACATTCTACCATGATAGAATTTAAGATAGGAAGGATACAAATATTAGCCTGCCTCTTCAGGCTTATAAACTGGAGACAACAGACATTAAGTGATTTTTCCAAATCAACATGATAAATTAAGGGTAGACCAGAACAAGACATTTCTCAAGTCCCACTTCAGTGCTCTTTCAATTTCCACCACCCATATATACTTAATTATGCAAAAATCTAACTTATTTTACGACCAAAGCAGCATTTATCTTTATTAAGACTCAAGAATCCACTTATCTATCTACAACTGGAGCAAAAGAGACAATGGTCATCCTTAATGAAAACTGTTAGAAATTTTCATATGGGAAGGAAGAGAGGTGGTGGTGAGGGCAGAGAAGGACTAAACCACTCTTAGACTTTCAAGCTATTCAGTGTGAGATCAGAAGAGAATCCAGGTTGGGGGGGGGGGAAGGAGAACTGGGAAATGTAAGACCATGCATAAAGTGGCTGGGCTAGACATGAACCTCACCAAAGGGAACCCATTTGACCAAGTTTTATTTCTTTTGAGGAGCCCTGAGCCTCTACACACACCTTGATGAATTCTTAGCATAGCAGGAGTAGGAAGCAGGATGATGATGAGTCATTTTTAGACAGTCTGAATTCGAGATGGCTGTGGAATATGCCAACAGCGATGTCCACTAGGCACTCAGCTATGTGACTCTTAAGTTCAAGAAACAGATATTGCCTGTCCTGGCCTAGGTTCTAGACGAGACACTACACTGCTACCCTCTGCTTTGGCTTATTCCTTTAGGAGAAACAATGACCCTTTCTTCAGTCTGGGTGGCTAATTTCAAAGGATTCAGGGAAAAGTTCACTCAAGGTCTTGGACTATCTTGACCAGTACACACATGGGAGTTGGGCTGTACTCCTCTCACTTTTCAAAACAGTGGGTGATCAGACATGTATCCAGACTGCTTACAGGTGGGCGGGGAGCACTAACTGCTTGCCTGTCACCTGGGGAGCAATAAAATCTTCTTGCCTCTTCCAGAAAGAAAAGATGTCATGAAAAAAGAAACCTGGTATGCCCTTTGTCCACATTTGCCAATTCTTGTGAGGAGGTGGATGCTACTGGATGACCAAAGGTGACACAATTAATTACACTTTACCAATGACTGGAGAGGTCACTTGTCATGCTTCACTTTTCAAAGTATCATTAAGTTACTTATATTTCTACATAGCTTAACATCCAATTTAAAAAAAAAGGAATTACAAAATAATAATCAAGGTCTGTCAAATACTCAAGAAAGAAGTCCAGAACTTAAGAGAATGCAAAAAAAAAAAGAAAGAAAGAAAAGAGAATGTAAAAAGGTCCTTATATTTTATAATCAGAAAAATATTGGGGGGAAATACATACAAGGAGAGCTCCATGCAATTTACTGTCTCTGAAAACCACTGCAGGGTCAGCTATGAGTTAGTTCCGACTTGATAACACACAACAACAACAATACACAGCTCAGTGGTAACAGCATCTTTGCTTTACTCTATTTCAGCTAACAAAAGGTTACAGAGGAATGCTGTACTTTTGGATGGCAGGCAGAGCCTGCATAAAGGAGATCGTCGCGAGGAGAAGATGGAGCAATGATCTGCCTTGTCTGAGGTCTCAGGGAAGGGGAAGCCCATGTGAATGTCTGCATGCATATGTATGTTCTTGGTGGACGTGTTTATAAAATAGAAAGAAAAGGAATCAAGGCCTTCCACCACGAGGTCCTAACTGACCTCCGAGCCCTTCCTCTCACCCCTCAGAATGAGCCCTGCTCTACTCACTGGGTCAGCCTCTCTCCTCTGCGTGCCCACAGAGCCTCTTCTCTGCTCACACCATGATCCTGACGACTGCATGTCTTTCTGCATCTCAGTGTCCTTCAAGGTCCAACTCAAGCTCCATTTTCTCTAACAAGCTCTTCCTGACAAGTCAAAGCCAAGTGTCCTCTCCTTCATTTATGTACTAATAGTCACTGTCACTTTCTCATTTAAAAAAAAATAAATGCTAACAATATAAAGAAAGTACAAACATTTCAATGGACCACAGACTGTCTCTTACCTTCTTGAAACTCTATCTACATTTGATCTCAGCTAAATGAGAAGCTCTTTAAGGCAAGGGCGGCATCATCACAATGCTTTGGATCCATCATAGACAAACCCAATTTGTTGTCCTGTAAATGTGTACTGATGTGAGCAGGCAGCATCATACAGTGTTCATAGGAAATTACTGTATTTAGCATGAGAATACTTTGATCCTATAATAAGAGAAAATTAACCATAATTGTCTAGGATTTGAGATTTTTTTTTTCAAGTGTTGGAAGTTAGAGTTCACCCAGAGGTATACTGGACGTAAGGCCTGGCAATCTGCTTCTATTAAAAATCAACCACTGCTCCAGTGCAATGTTCATTATCCATCCACTCTTATCCTATTTTCCTTCCAAACCCTCAGGTCAATCCTACTTTATAACGGTGTTATGCAGTATTTATCCTTTTGTGACGGAGATATTTCACTCAGCATAATGTTCTCCAGGGTCACCCATGTTGTGTAACGTTTAATTCATTGTTTTCCAGCACTGTATAGTATTCCATTGTATAGAACAGGTGACAGAAAGAACTGTTTAAAAGGAATATATTACTAGGCATTATATGTATGACAACAGCTTAGAATAAGGGGTATATTGCAAAGGAGGACTGGAGGTGGTGTAGGGAGGTAATTGTTCAACAATGAATGAATATTTTTTAAAAAAGTGAAGGGTGACAGAAGATGAGGGGGTAAAAATGTGGAACAATGAATGAATGAAAATCTAACTTTTCTGTTGCTGTTGTTAAATGCTGTCACGTCGTAGGTGACTCATAACAACCCTATGAATGAAAGACCTGAATACTTGGTATAACTTTCTTCATTTCTCCAAGTTCACACGGTTTCCAGAGGCAAGCTATTTCAGAAGAGGATGCCACTCCTGCTCCCAAGATTTTTTTAAACAGGGAGCTCCAACAAACACTCCACCATGGGTGACCAATATTGCATTTTACCCATCAGTGTCATGCTGTCCAACATCACAGCAACCATGACTCACCTCTGTACAGCAAATTGACAGACCAGTGCTATAGCACCTAGAAGAATGTTTGACCAAAAACAATTAAAAGCTGGCCCAAGGACCATAGGCCCACAGTTCATCTGGCAAGTCCCATTTGCTGACACCCACATGGGACAAAAAGAAAGGCATAAGGGCACCGAGTGTTCCATGCCTGTCCCTCATCAAGATGTGAGAGATCATCACAACTTCCACCTTAAGATCGACTAGCACACTAGCCCTCAGCTTGAAGGCGAAGCCAAGCACTTCAGCATTTAAAAATTCCAGCATGCCCACATGCGGGTAGACTGTTAACCAGAGACCCCCAGTTCATCTGGCAAGTCCCGTCTGTTGATAGCCACTTGGGACAAAAAGAAACTGTCATTAAAATAATAATTAAAATAAAAAAAATTTCTTTTTTAAAAAACTTAGCCACTTCAAACCCTCCAGAGTACAAATCTATCCCCCATGAGTAAGCAGCAATTCAGTGGCAACTGGTCTGGCCTTTGGTTTTGGTTTTATACTCATTACTTCTTAAGAAGATAGCAAGAAAGTATTTTGCCTCAGCTAAAGTACAAAAGTTTTTAATTTTAAGAATAAGAAATTTTAAGAAAATCAGACTGTGATATCAGAGGGTAAGATTCTCATGAGGTAGATGTTAGATTGATGAAGAAAAAACCCAACAACTGTTTTAACAGCAGTCAGATATAAAAACATACCAGTATTTCCTTGTGCATCTTCTAACTTATTTGGGGAAGGTAACAGAAAAGACGGCCTGGTGAAGTGAGGGCCCGGCAGAGACGACTGCTGCTGTGGCTGCTGCAAAGGCGTGGATTTGAGGACGACCCTCCAGTCCACTTGAGTGACATCTGACCTGGAGCGTGTGTGCCCTGGCTTGAAAGTAGAGGTCTCGTCCAGTAAGTCATTCACAGAACGAGGTCTTTCCCTCCGACGCTGGCAAATGTTGAAAAAATTGAAGGTTGATGCTTCCTTTTGTTCCATCCAGGAAAGGTTATCTGGAGCTGTTCCCCTCTGGACCAGAAACTGTTCTTTGGCAGGAAAGACATTGTGAGCTTTGGTTTCTAAGAGCCTGCTGTTACAGTGGTCCCAAATCATGCCCCCTTTGCCCAGGGAGGCTACATTTCTGATAGCACCATTGTCTGGTATGTTACTGAAAACTTCGTGCCCTACCAGTTCAGGGACTTCCTGAATCCCATAAACCTCTGCTTGTTGTACAGCCTTTTCAAGCTTAGTATCGAAAGAACTGAAGAAATCTTCTGTAACTTCCAAGGCTGGGCTGATATCATCCACTTCCAAGGCCTCCATGTCACAGACTCTACAAGGCCTTACCCTTCCAAGCAGGTTCAGAAAAGGGCCTCTTGACCATTTACCCAACACAGGGAAGTGTGTCTGCAAGAGAGTTCTAGAAACAACTTGAAGAAAGCTTCCTTTGGCTGCCTGGAGCAGGCCAAGCACAAGTTAGTGTTTTCCTGGTCCATGTAAAAACAGGCATTAAAAGAGGGGAGAGAAATGTTCCTTTGAGACTATTCTTCAGGGAGATCACTGGGAAGACGCTGGTCAAAGCAATGTCATGGATTGATCCTTGATTTCCTGGAGGAAAACAAACAGGACAACATTGGTACCCAGTCCACTTTTGTTCTGTAGGACACAAAGTTCCCGCATTACTTCCCCATCTTTGTACCTCTTCCATGGTATTCACACACAAAGGTTGGAAACACTCGCATAGGAGTTCCCTTGTAGGGAGTACGCACCACTCCCGGCTTTGTATGAAGACTTACACAGAGCAGGGTGGAGTACTTGATAGGGAGAATTAAGGTCAACAGTTTTTACTCACACAGAAAAGCCTTTGAGAGCAGTTGTGAAAAGGCTGCTGTGGCAAATCTCTGTGATATGTTAACCTAAAACAGTAATCAAAAGAGACTAGGAATTCTGAGAGCAGACCAGTAATGATCAGTTTGAAAGTCCTACATGTATGCGTTCTTTCACAAACCTTGAAAGCACTGATGATTTGTTGGGCCTAAAGGTGCAAGGGGGAGGGAAAGTGAAAGATTCTGCCCTGTTATTAAACCTGGATGCATTGTGCCTGGATGTTTGGGCTTAAAACACATAATGCCAACTGAGGACACTGGAATCCTGGGTGGTACAGTCAGAGAATTCTTCCATATCCTTTAGAAGGCTTCTGGCTCAACACTCCCTGAGGTTTCTAGGATTGGTCTAAGGATACACGTTCAGCCTAGAGGCTGCTGAAAGTCCTAGTAGCAGGCTTTAGCATTTTCTTTCTCTGAGCCTCGAATCCTATACTTTATAGTTCAGCCTGGGTAGAAAGACTCTCATGAGCACTAACTCACTCTCACTGAGATCTCCAAGGCCAGCTCAAATTAGTAAAGATCTTGACAGGGATGCTCTTGGCATGTGCTGTTCAATATGGTGGCACTGGCCACAGGTGGACACTCTGCTGGCATAGTCAGTAAGGAGTTTCACTGCTAACCCAAATAGTGTGCTTCAGTGGTTCAACTCCACCAGCAGCTCCAAAGGGAGAAAGATGAGCAGTCTTCTCTCCTGCGATTTACATGCTCAGAACCCAAGGGCTGACCAATGGCTCTCCCTCAATGGCAAGGAGTCTGAGTTTGCTTAAGTCAAAGGTGGGGTTTTCAATTTAAATTTGCTAAATCCAAATAGAGAATGACGTTTGAAAGTCATCTACAGGAGCCGGGTTCTACAGAAGGTGTTGGCTGGGATTGGTGAGCATTAGGGTAGAATGTTGATTTGCTAAGGGGAGTGAGACAATGCGATAAGGCCTCCTATTTAAAAACCCTTTTGGTTTTTAAAACAACCCTTTGGTTGGCAGTATGGGGCTGGAATCCAGTTTGAAAGTCATCTGCAGTAGCCAGGTTATGAACATGGAGAAAAGACCAAAGTTATGAGTCACCTCAACTCAATGGCACTTAACAACAATAACAACATAGAGAGAGCTATGTTGGCCTAGTGGATAGAAAGTTATGTTACCAAGCCCAAGTTGGGTGATTTTAATCTACGGCCCTCAGGCCTGGTTTAAATTTTTTTTTTTTCAAACATTCTTCTGAGTGGTATAGCACTGGTCTGTGCATTGCTGTATAGAGGTCACTCGCGGTTGCTGTGACGCTAAACACTGTGACACTGATGTGTCAAATGTGATAATGGTTACCCATGGTGGACAATATTTGGTGGAGCTTCCTGATAAAAACAAGCTTAGAAGCAGAAGTGGCATCCACTTCCGAAATAGCTTGCCTCTGGAAACTCTATGAACATGGAGAAATGACCAAAGTTATACAAGTGTTCAGGTCTTTCGTTCATAGGGTCATTTTGAGTTGTCTGTGACTCTACAGCACTTAACAACAACAACAACAACAAAGCCAAATAAGATGAAGCAGTCAGTTACTCGGTCATACAAGTCACTTCATAAGTGTCTAAGAGCAACATGTCTCTGGTGGCAGATGAAAAACATTTCCATTATCATAGAAAATTCCCCTGGATGGTGCTACTCTAGACAAGGATCTGTAAATACAAATGCCAGCGAGGCCTGGCAAGTAATAAGCAGAGGATGGAAAGGGTTAGTCAGTAAGAGGAAATGAGAACCACTGGGAAATGGTGGCACAGGCCTTCATTTCAGGGGCCGTTTGTACTCAGCCCCAGTGGGGACTTGTCCTGTTGAAGTGTCAGCTCAGTACTGGGATGTCTCTCAATCTCTTAAGGTCAGAAAGTTCGCACTTGTACATTATTTTTAACTTCCTTGCTTTTAAATGATGGCATCAAATTAATTTTAAAAGGTAAGGGAGGGATTCCTCTGCTTAAAACCCTACCATGGCTTCCCATTTTATTCAGTGTGTATAAAAGAAGCTGCACTGCAATCCCAGAGGTACGCGGTTCAAATCCACCAGATGCTCTGCTGGAGAAGGAGGGAGCAATCTCCTCCTGTACCAGTCAGATCTGATTTGACAGTACATGTAAAAATAATACAATAAAAATAAAAAATAAAAAAAAAAGAAGCTGTTCTTTCAAAAGTCTGGCCTGGTTACCTCTGTCCTTCCATCTCTCTCCCCACTTCTACAGTGTAGGCCAGTGATACTGAGCTCCCTGGGACCTTCAAACGCACCAGACCAATTCCTCGTGAGGGCCTCTGGCTCAAAGGATCTTTCCCCTTGGCTGACACCCTCCTTTACCTCTTAGTTTCACCTTCTCAGAGAGATCTGCCCTAGCCACCTTATTTAACACGTTGCCGCAAATGACGGTAATATATCAAAAGGGGGGGGGATTGTTTCTAAACATGGTCGTCAATTCAAAAGTGTGCGGCAACGGGTTAATCATATTCCCTCACTCCCAATATTTCCAGTTCTCTTTGGCCTATTCTATCCTTTTCTCTAAGTACTTATCAACTATTAAATTCTCTGGAGACCTTTTAAAAGGATCACTTCATTCCTGTGCTAAAAACCTTGAAATGGCTGTGTTTCACTCAGAGTAAAGACCAAACCATAAATTTCCTGTCTGTTATTTATTATCTGTCTCCTTCTGCTCAAATATGAGCTCCATGAGAGTAGATATTCTTTTCTGTGCTGTTCATGGGTGTATCCAGATTTCCTAGAATAGCCCCTGGTGCACAGTGAGTATTCTACAACTAGTCCACGTTGAGTATTCTGCAACTCATCCATGGCCTATCGATTTGCACTCTCTGTTCACTACCAAAAGCAACATGAAGAATGTGGTAGGTCATTACAATAATGGTCTTCCAGGACTCACATTCCTTTGCAATGCACTAGTATGGTGCCTTACCTCCCATCAAGAGTGATATCACTCTTCTGAAATCCTAAAAAGGTCATGTTGTAAAAAGTCCAGTTAGGAAGTGAGAAGTCACTGAGAAGAGAGACAATGTGTCCTGGAAGACAATAGCACCAATGTTCAGACACGTGAGTGAGACCGTCTTGAATCCCCTAGCTTTAGCCAAGCCACTGAAAGAACGCATTTACGTGAACTGCAGGTGAGATTAATGGAAGAACCAACCCTGATTTTCAATTCATAAGACTGTGAAAAACACGAAATCAATGCTGTTTTTAAGTCTAAGTTTTAAAGTGGCTCGTCACATCACAACAGATAACTAAAGCAGAAAATTGTAGCAGAAATGAGCATTAATTAAAAGACAGAAAGAAAGATGATTCTTTGAGATTTTTCTTCATTGAGATTTCTGTGAAGATAACTAGACGTGTTTATCAAAACAGTGTCTCAGTTCCCTGGAAGAAAACAAGCAGAAGAACTACGTTGACACAACATTAATGTAACAAAGCCCTAAAACATATGGATGTTCTGCCTAGTAAGAAGCTAGGAAACTTAGTGAAATTTAGATGAACAACTACTGCTGTAGAGTTGAAACTGCCTCTCAGCTGACCATCCGGCAGGTTTTATAGGGTGTAAATCGCATAGAGAGAGAATGTTCATCTTCTTCTGTGGAACGTCTGACAGATTCAAACCACCAATAAGTGACCACCTTTGGGTTAGCAGTACAGCTCGTTACAGACTATGCCTAAAAAGGACAAGCCAACTAGTGGGGAACAATGGAGAAGACTGCACAAAATGTAGAAAATACAGCTAGTGATCAAAATGAAAAATATTTTAGAAAATGTTGTCAATGAACTTCTGCATCTGGATAATGAGATTTTTTTTTACAAGAAAATAACCTTAAGATAGAATGGTTTTTGTTTTCTTTTTAAGTTATGAGATGATGAGGATGGAACAGGATAGGGCAAGGTTCAGATCTGTCATTTATAGGGTCGCTATGAGTCATAGCCAACTTGACAGCACCTAACAACAACAATGATAAAGTCCAAAGAGAGAGAAAAAACAATAAAGGAACAATTTGATTGCAAGTAGAATTTAGAGTAATATGAGCAGTTCAAGAGTTGCAAGACTGCAAAGTAAAACTGTTTCTTGTCTACAGATAAGATACATACGTAAAAAGATTTAAAATTACTTAAACTCCATAGGTAAAAATTAAACCTAGAATGATGCCAGTAAAATAAGGCCTCAGGATTTAAATAAAAACAAGGGTATGTCAGTAGGATATATCTACAAGTTTTGACATGACACCTACTATACCTGAAAGTCATGCATCCACCCGTCTATCTGCCATTTATTAAGGTCCCAAAAGATATTTGTTGTTGTTGTTGTTAAGTGCCGTCGAGTCATAGGCGACTCATAGCAACCCTATGAATGGAAGTCCTCAACACTTGTGTGACTTTCATCCCTTCTCCAGGTTCATAGGGTTTCCGGAGGCAAGCTATTACGGAAGTGGATGCCGCTCCTGCTTCCACCAAAAGATATTAGGCACAAGAAATATAAAGATAAATATGACAAAGTTTTTGACGGTACCAAGATCACAGTTGATCATGATGAGTCAAATA